AGACCTCGGCTCTCCCAGGAAGCAGCTTTTGCAGCAGAGATGCAGATGGGGAGCAGAAGGCAGCATCTCCCCCAGGACACACTCTTAATATCTAACGCAACATCAGAACAGTGCCAAGCGATCCAAGCTCATGCCGAGTTTTCTACACGGGAAAGAGACACAGCCAAGGATTGTCTTAGTTTGAAAGGAAAACACACAAAAGCTGAAGAGGAAAGTGCTAATTTGTATTTCTAAAGCATGTACTCTGGCAACTCCCTCTCTGTCTGCTCTTTACACAATATTGATGGCTCGCTCTTTGCAACCAGATCTGCAGCCAGTAGTGTAATGGACAGGGTTTGGTACTTAAACGCCTTAATTAGATATGAAAACAATTAGAGAAGACTATTCTCTAACATCCACAGGCCTCAGCACAGATAGAAAATGGGGCAAACCCATCCCATTATGTCTGAGTTGTTTTGGAAGCTTTGCAGACGAAAGGATGGCCCTACTGGAACACTGCACCATAAAGTAATCGTCTAAAGAGATGCAGAAGACAGTACAATTGTAGGACAATTATGAATCCTTCATAATTGCTTATTATGGCAAAGCGAGCCCCAAGGGAGCAGCCACTGCCACGGTGCTGCTCAGACACAGGCTCCAGTCCTCTGGAGCAAAACACCCACTCGGCACTTTGGCAGCATTTCCACAGTGGGGAGAGGCTAGAGCCAACTTCAGAGAACGGACAGGGATGATGAGAGCTGGGTCAGGAGAAGACAGAAAAAGCAGCTTGCGCTGAAGTTTTGGGAGAACAGACACAAGAGAGGAGCTTGAGCCAACCCTGGTTCTGCCCGTTAAGCTGCCAGGCAGGTAGAAACCAAAGGCCAGACACAACATAGAAAGAAAGGTAGAAAACAAAGGCCAGACACAGAACATAATGAAGAAGGAAAAAAGCTTGATCAAGGAGTAACATGAACATGTGCCAACAGAGATTACAGATCCACACTTAGTGGGACACAGACAGGAAAATGGTAGGTGCTTTGGTGACATGGCTTCTCTCGGGTCCCTTTTTTGTTGCCGAGACCACCACCAAAAATTCTTCCCTCCCACACCCAGGCATTCCCCACCTATACCCAGCTTTGGCCAACCTCGTGTTTCTTCAAAGTGCCCACAGAGCACAGTTCAGCAGCAGTTCCCAAAGCAGCCAAATACGATGCGCAGAAGTTTACTAACAGTTTCAAGTCTTTTGGTACAGCTGGGGCTGTGGACCTTTCGGGGAGAACTGTTTGACCTACAGCATATGGAAACGTGACGATCTACCATTTGTGTTTGAGCACCCCAGCTCAGGCTGGTCATCGGGAAGCGCGTATCGCGTCCTGCAGTCGTTGGGCTCATCCTGAAGCGTTTCACCAGACGGCAGCTCTGGAGCAATCCAGTTTGTTTACTCCATCCTTCCACAGCAATGCACCGATGCACGTCCAAGTAAAGCTTGGCATTTATTAATAGCTTCAAATGTTGATGCCAGAGAATTTGGGGGTTGTTGCTAGTAAAGTTGTCAGATTTGCTTCCTAAGCGATCTAGGAAGTGCTATACTGCCTGTTCAGCAGTCCATGTTTTCACCAACTTTCCTTAATTTACATGGAGGACCACATCCATTTCCACACGCAGCATGTCAACAGTATTTTTGAAGGCAACAAAATAAGTTTCAGACCAACAAAACTGTTCAGGTATAAACCCAATTTTAATTGTCAAGCTAACTTCTACCTCCTACATTCAATGCAAGGACCAAAAACTGCAAGTTTGAGAGTAGAAGTTTATTCTATCTCCAGTTTCTAATTGTTTTGACAGCTGTCAAAAGATAACTTTCAAAATCCACTTGTTTCAGAAGCTTTTTACTATCTTGTGGATCGAGGTGAACATCATGGACTCTCTTAATAGCTATCAACATCCTTCAAACTCAGTTCTTTGGCAACAGTTAAACATAGCATTGTGCGTATATAAAGAGCTTATAATAAAACTTCTTTTACATTCTAATTGTCTTAACCTTCACAAAAGTATTAAAGTGCTCAGTCATCTCTCACTCTCCTTCCCTAGTCAGCCTACTTCCTGGAAACACCCGCACTGAAGTCAGCAAAACCAGAAGCAAACAAGAAGAGAAAAGGTACTTGTATGAAAAAAAACCAAATCCTCTGCAGAATCATTACAACTGCTTACGAGCCAAGAGGCAGAGTCTCACATCTCCCTTCCACCCACATATGGAGACACAAGTCCAAAGTGTTCCACCAGCACAACTTCTTTTCCCGAGTTGTGCTGACTTCCCAACAGTTGATCCTTTGACCCCTGACTTCTGTCAACAGAAAACCCTGCAAAACAGAATCCCAGTTGATGCTACAAAGACGAACGCCGAAGTCATACTGGTAAAGCAACAGCAATGAAAAGACCTAAATAAGAGTTGTGATGGATGTTTAACACACCCCACCACCCCAAGATATCTGGATTTTAAATGTCAGCAACATTTGATACTACCTGAAATAGACGCTTTCAAAGAAGCTTTAAATGAGAACATTTTTGGTCCTTCTAAGCAGGAGGATGAAGGGTACATCTCAAAACTATTTTCTCTGGCAAGACCTGCATGCCAGTTCACCCCACCATGCTCTGTGCTGGAGGAATTTTCACTGGGGGACTCTGCTCTTCCTCAAAAAGGACCAGAGCCACATCCCCATGTGCACATCCTCTCCGTCCTCCAGCCACAGCATCCACAATACGATTTAACGCAGCCCACGGGGCAACTTCTTCCTCCCAAGAGCTGAGACACCAGAAACGCAACCCCGGGACACGTGCGTTTAATAGCTTACTCAACCACAGGATGATGCTTTTCATTCTACCTTTGGTTAAATCTTTTGACATCTGTGGGAACAGCACGTTATTTAAGCATCATCAGGCCTTTGCACTCCCTGTCTTACAACAGGTACTGAACTGTCTGCTGTCACCTGCTCTTCTTCTGCTGACTGAAGATCAGACATACTTTTTCTACCTCCACCTTTGCACTGCCCTGAACTGTTTGCTGGCTGTTCGCCCCCTGCTTCTACATGTGGAGCTATCTGTGATCTCACCACAGAAATGACTCAAAAGCCAGGAAATACTGACGAAGGTGGTCAGAAGCCACACACAGCTTTACACCGGCCATCATGCCACTTATCAGACGTGGCATGAGTTAACCCTGCAGCCTCCAAGGCTGACTGAAAGCCAAACACACGGCATTACCTGCTTTGATGTACCGGGGTGGTCATCCTGACACTCCTCAGCAGTCCCACAAGGGCTGGTTGGTGCACACAAAGGTCATGCTTTCAAGATCACACGAAGTTGTTTTGCTTGCTAAGCTGAGGGCTTTCCCCTGCAACTGCTTGGGGATATATAAACCATGGCCACGTTTCTTGGGAAGACTCTTAACCATGCTCCTCCATCAAGTATCGATACAAAAACAAAGGGTTTCGTAAGAAAATAAAAATATAGTTTTTCATACATATTTTGAAGCCACAGGCAGCTACATTAAGATGAAATACCATCTGATATTTAGTGCAAATACACCAAATCTTCAGTGGCTTGAGTCTGGCTTAGTTTCAGCATAGGAGCTTTTTACCCAATGCCCTCCTCTCATTACAGAGTTGGCCTCCCTCGTTATGAAGATGAATGCCCAATCAGTAGGGCATGTGCTGATAAAAAACTCTGCATCACTTACTGGCCAAGCAATTGGTAAGAAACACTTCTCTGTGCTAACAATCTATTTGCATTTCATTTTAATATTACGCTTCTTCCCTCGTTTCTACTGTTTTGAAAGTTCATTATCTTCAGATGTCCATGTTTTTCGGAACACAACCTGTGAACCTGTAGTGTGCAGCACAGGGCAAGCACTGAACTAAAGGGCAGCTTGTTTCACAGTACTCCACGTAAGAAAACTGACCATAGTACAAGCAAAATTAAATAAACTGAAATATAAAAGACAGCAGAAGTTAGATTCATCCAGAAATATAATATAATGTCTGGGAGTTGAAAACCAGAGACTTAGCTACAAAACAGAAACAATGAAATGACCAGCAAATATTAAGTGAAAGAGGAAAACTTATATTGCATGCTGCACACATTAAAATTAAATGCAAAATTCACACGTTGGAGCATCAGGACAGAGTGATGAAGGTCTGAAGCCATGGGAAGAAGAAAGCAAAAGGAACACCTTGAATAAAGCAACACAAACAAAAACAGGAACTGAGCAGCTTCCAAAGGAAAAATAGTGACCATATCTCAAATGAGAAAAAGCAGCATAGAAGCAAAGAACAAGTATATGGTCAAAGCATCACAGGTAACACTGACTGCACAAAACACTTGGTATTTTGAAAGAATCAGGCCTATTTGTATATCTATGCAAAATATATACACAAATCCAAATGTATATATGTACACATAGGCACTACTGTACATATGTATATGCAATCATTAACGCAACTGCCCTTCGACAAGTTTCAGCATCTGACTCTGGGTGCAAGCAAGACCGCTGCAGTTGTGCAAAGCTACACGTCTGTGATTACTGAGAAGTAGTGGTAGAAAAGACCCAAAGCAGTCCCCAAATAGCTTAGACCCAGATGCAGTTTCATCAACATCACCATGCCAGCCCGACCTCTGAACATTTCCAGCTCATTTGTAGGAATTAAATATTCATCCAAAGCTGTGGATTCTATCAGTACAGATTACATCTATTTCCAACCCTGCTAATCTGAAGAGATGGCCGACATCTCTCCTGACATCATGAGGTTTACATGAGGCCATCCCACCCAGAATGCTAATTTGGGAATACTGGATGCATGAGAAATTTAATTCAAAGGCCAGCACAGGACCACAGGACTATCATCCTGTAAAAGAAGGGTTATAATTGCTGTCCTTAACATTTTTTGGTTTTGGTTGTTTGTTTGTGGGGGTTTTTTTTGTGAAGAAAGGGACATGCTGCATAAAAAAAAGATTTCCCCCCACCCCTCAAACAAGGGAACACATGACAACTCTGAGAATGTATGCTCCAACTGTATGGACATGCTGATCTTTGGGGTTTCCGGTTTTGGGATGTGGAAAGTTGCATTTCCATAAAGCCTGCTTGTCTCACAGCTCCAGGGAGCATCGGCCTCCCAAGTCCAAGGCTGTTTTGGTCTGACACTTCAACGCTCAGTCGGTCTTTGATATGTGCGCATTACCAATGCCATATGAGAGCAGAAAGAAAGTGGTGAAAGAAAGAACTGCAGACAGATTGTTCTACGCCTCGGCAAAGCCGCCTTTCAACTCCGGAAGAACTGTGCTCGCTGCTCTGTGTGCGGAGGACCCCGTTTAGTGCTCTGCATCCATAGCATCTAAGTACTTGGCTTCAATGATCCTAGGGAGCAGGTTATACCTAAGATTGAACCAGAGGGAGCATGCATTAGTGCTTGTTTTTAAATTTAGGTAATGTTTTATCTGTCCCAAGACACTCAGTTGAGTTTGCCCAAGGCCATACATGTAACAGATTCGCCCAGCTGAAGAGGAGCTGAACTGAGGGGAAGTAAAAACAACCAATCCTGCAAGCAAATACCACATTTATAGGAGTAAGAGCGCAGAGCTCTTCCTGGAAGAAGCCTTGTCATTTCAGTTGAAGAGGAAAGAGAAATCCTCACCATCATAGGAGAAAAGTTGTTTTCCTAGAGTGCTCTATCACCCCACAGTCTTAAAGGAACCATCTCACCCAACCCACAGCTATGCTCCTGGCTTGCGCTGGGGAGGCAGGCAAAGGCTTCCTGATGCCTCCAGTTTGCTAGTGGATGGGTTACTTTGCCAAGAATCGCCATTTACTTCTACTTTCTGCTTTCTTCACCACTCTCCCTATAGTTTCCCAACACACACCCACCTCATGCAGCCTCAGTCATCACAACACTGTCAACACCAGGCACTGAGAGCTCAGAGGAGAAACCCACCTCTAGATTTACAGGGCTGGCTCAAAGACCTGCACAGGTGGGCTATTTGTCTCATGCTTCCTCAGTTCTTCATGTACCCTAAGTCACTCCTTCCAGCTGTCCCACAAAGAAGCTTTAATAGACATCCCAGAAGCTTTGCTCTTTAGAGGAGCACCAAAGATATCAGCAAGACTTGAGACCATAGCAAGAAGTTAAGCAGGGCTGTGACAGTCATTCCTCCATCCCTACCTGGAGTGTGGTTTCCACTAGATCATGGAGACAGTAATTCCCTTTTGTTTATTTGTTTGCAAGAACATCCTCATGAATTAACATATTTGGATGAGAAACGCAAGGCACTGTAAAAATATGCTATAAAGTTGCCCTCACTAAATACTACTGCATATTTAGTTTGACACTTTCCCTTCCTTAACAAGGAAGCTGTTCTTCAGCTGTTAAAACAAGGCACAAAGCACTAGGAAGCCAGTTAAAGACCCAGAAGAGCCGTTTCAATAGCTATAAAACAGATCCTGAACAGCCCTTACTACTGAGAAATACCAGGATCTGCTTAAATAGACCTGTCATGAAATAAAATGCTTGACAGCCATGGGAACACAGATAAGCATCACAGAGAACTTGAAAAGAAGAGTCTTCCTCTCCCATCAATCTTAACCTGAGTACTCCCCCAAAGCAGGGATTAGTGTAACCAAAAACTAGTTACCCCAAAGCTGTGAATCAAAGCCAGGAACGAACTGCGGATACCCAAAGAGATGACGTTTTTCTCCTAACAGGCTGTTCTCCACTGCAACAATGAGAAGCCATAAAATCCGTTATCTTTCACATTAACACTACACCAGTAGAAAAAGATGGTCCCTCAGCACTGACAATGCAAATCATGCATCTCATGCTGTCAGACAGATGGAAATGCAGCTTTGAAACAGAAAAATAACATGGCTGGGTTTCTGGATGGGACACTGAGCCATGACTCACTCATGTGGGTTTGATTCTTGACTTTGACCCCTGGCTACTCTCCCATCTCCTCTTCCTCCCTTCACTTAAAAAGAGAACAGATTTTATTTCATCTACTCATCTCATCTATTTAAAAGTGCCAAATCTTTGGGAAAAAATCATTAACTTGAGCTTGTGCATCATGGTGCTGCCTTCTCATCTGGAGTCCACAAACTACACCAAGGCAAAAGATATCAGAAAGGAAAGCCAAGGGCAAATTTCTGTGTTGTGCCAAGCAGCACCATTTTCCCCTTAGCAACAGATCTGATTAAGCAGCTACTAGAAAAAGCTGCTCTGGAAAGAGAAATGAGTTAGCAACAGAGCTGGTATGACAGTATCTTATTTACTCAAAAGAAGATATATTTGCACCACTAAATTATCCACCTCTTATTACAAAATCAGGTGCTTTGACTGTGCTCTCTCCACACTAATTTAGCTTACTACACTACATCAGATACTTCCAACGTTTGGCAAAGTGTTCCACGTTCTCTTTTCTGTACTGAGCTGCTCGGTGTGGAGACTTGCAATTCCCACAAGAGCCACTCATCTGGCACTGCACACAGTTCAAGTATTTACCAGCCACTTAACCAGACATCCAAAGTGACATCTGTGTGAAGGGTGGGTAAGAGACTCTTACCATAGGAACAATAATTTCAGTGTTTTCCAAGATTTTGTTTATCTTCAAAAAATACATCCCAGATAGCTCTAACCTGATCTTGTTGAAAGCCATGTTTGTTTTGACATTTGTTTTAGAAAGAACTGGACCCATCTTTATCACCCAAGGAAAACACCACAACAGCTCCCTTTGCAGATCAGCACATCGGCAGCCCCGAACTCTAACATCAGACAGAAAATCTCTGAGACTGCAAGCTCAAAGACAACCACATATCAGTGGATGCCATGCTGTCCTAAAAATAAAGTGGGCTGGAAACAGATCTGTTCCTTCCAAGATCTTATTATGGCTTCTCATTACATCCAAAGGATGAAAAGCATGAATGATTTAACTGGAGAACAGTGGGCAGCCACTGTTAATGAACATTAAGGAAAAAATTAGTTAAGTTTCTCAGTGATTCTGTCTCAAGACTGCAAGATATTGTGGGGTCCTCCCAGTTCTAAAGATACATTTTAAGACTAAATGTGACCAGTTTGACTTAACTCACCATTTGCAATGGCACTCAGCAGTGCAGGAATAAGGTTACAACAGCACTGGATGAGAGATAAGGATTCCTCTCAGGAAAAGTTTCTAGCTGAGGCCTAAGCACAGGTAATCAAATCAAATTGCAAAGCAATAAGGAACATGATCAAATGCTTAGAGGGAAGGCTCAGACTACAGCTTCTCAGGAAGATCAGGCCTCTCAAACACTGCAAAAAAGGAGACTTTATTTGCCTCTCTGCTAGCTGTAAGGAGAGTACCTGCTAGCCCAGAACCCTTTGCACAACAACCAGCATCAGTGAAATCACAAGGTCTCTACACTATTCCTTCTCAAGCCTAAGCAGTCTGTGAAGATGTCACCATCACCCATTTCCACGATGTGGCTACTCAGGAATGTACTAGGTGCCCTGCTAGACCACTCAGACTTCCCGCAGTCCAAACCTGATGGCAAAAGACACAGGAGACAGGAACAAAGACAGTCAAGCTTTGGCTGGAAAAGCTTCATACCTGATAGGGATCATCCCTATCATGATGAGCGGGAAGATCATCTTCATGTAGGGCAATGGTGACATGCCAAAACCACAGAGGATGAGGAGCTGCAGGACCTGCAAGCCTGTGAAATAGTGGATCTTCCTCTGGGGCACTCTGCGAATGTAATGTGTAGGAGGATAAGCAGTCTGGGAAGAGAAGAATGACATGTTAGATCTGCAGCAACCTGGACTTGTGACAGCAGAATGTGACACAGGCTTTTGAACACAAGGGTTTTAAGGAAATCAATTTACACACACATAGTTCATCAACAGATTCCTTAACAGGTTCAACAGCTGGACACGGGATTTGTAGGGTTAAAGCAAGGGCCTCAAACTACAGCATTGACAGCAACACACAGAAGATGACTGGGCACTAGAAACCTGGGAAGACAAGACACTCCACACAGCTAAGATTGCCTTTGGGAGCATCTGGAGTGCAATAAAATATCTCGATAAGTACCATAATTAGATTCCCCTCAGTAGGATTATCAGGACTTTGCAGCAACATGGGAAGTGCCTGTGGGGCGTGCAAGGGGGTGATAATAAGCAGATCCATTCTGATGTTATTACTGCTGGATGGTTTCTCCACCTGAAACCTAGCTCCTCATGATTTCATAGCCTTCTCTTTTGCTGATCAACTCCATGCTTGCCAATGGTGATCCCATTTCTTGGCTGAACCCCAGCAGGGGAAGACCACAAGATGTGACTGAAGAGGTATGGGAAGAGGCTGTACTTAAACTGCAGTGATTTTATCAATTCATATAAACTATTCATTTTTGAGAAAGAAAAAGGTGACATTAATAAGCTAAATATCGCTCGTGGGTTTTTTTGACAGTTACTTGCTCATGTCTGAGCACAGGCTTTGACTCACTGTCTATACATCAACATAGAGGATGAGCGACTGTCTGCTGGCACCGATACAGACTCCATGGATTTCAGATTGTGCCGTGACTCATTAAAAGGTTTCCAGAAAAGGGGAGATCTCCGTATTTGAGAATACTTTTTGATTTCCCCAAACCAAAGCTTGGAAAATTCCACGCATAATTTGTACTAAACCCAGAAGTAATATTCCACATACAGCAGTAACTATTCAATCCTCATTAAAAAATTGACATGACAAACGTAATCTTTGCCTGGATTTCACAGTTTTAACTTCTGGGATATAATATTAGAGATCCAGATAGATTAGCAGAGATGCAGACCAAATGTTGGGCTCATTAAACCCTTGACCCTCGTTACATAAGAGAAGGTGAGCTGAAGGCCCGTTATCACTCCCAGGTACCACCTACACTGCAAGTTAACACCTTCTTCGTATTTGTAGTAGAGAGAGCTTGAAAACAGATCTTCCAGATTTGTTTCCACCCCACATCAGAAGGGTTTCAATAATGCAAGTAATTTCAGTTTGAGTTTAAAACCCTATCTCTCGGTATTTCTCACAAGTCAAAATGAAGGTGTAAAACACAGCAAAAAGTCACCTGTCCTGAAGCTTTGCTGTGGAAATCAAAGATCACCATTTACTGACATTATGCACATTCTTTTAAATACTTTTTTCATAATTTTTAAAATGCGTGTACTCCACAGCTGCCACACCACCACAGTGGGTTTTTATAACTTATAAATACTCTACATTCAGCGAGCAACAGTTTCTGCAGCTTTTTTTTTTTTTTTAAAGTCATTGTTTGAATGTATGTTTGGCAGTTTAGGGGGTGTCTTCACTGACAGCTGCTATCCTGGCTCCATCCACACACTCATCTTTGCCTCTGGAAAGCTGCTCCCTGGAGCAATTCTTAGCAAACTGGAAATAGAAGGATTATATCGGAGACATTGCTCTCAGCAAGAAAGCTATAGTGTTTTGTGGCAGGGAAATGCAGAAAGCAATTTATGTAGAATTTGAATGACAGGTGAGATGTAGCACAAGTCTAGGAAGAATTCAGCTACCACCTTTATTTAACCCAGCAATAACCATGCCACTTTTCTTGTCTGACACCGCATTATTCTCCAACTCATCTGTCCAGTTTAATGGCAAAGACTTCTCTTGCTCATGTCTCAGTGGCAGACAGGCTAAACTAGAGACCATCAAGTTTCACTCCCTCTTTGCAGAGAAAGGTAAAAGGGATATGCAAAGTGCAGGCTGGAGCTGGAAATAAGCCTCCTGAGAACATGAGTTTTGGGGGTAACCCTATTTCCAACACCATCAGCTTTCCACGTCAGCACCAAACTCTTCCAGGAGCCAAGACTGTAAATACAATTGCCTTCTGTTCCATCAGGCTGGCGCCCCAGTCTGTGTACCTGTTCCTTGAGCAGGAGAGCCACCCTTTCAAAGAGCTGGTTCCCATCAATGGAGGTCAACGCAATGTAGAGGAAGAGGCCATAGAGGACCGGCTTTGGGATCCACTGGAGAGGGAAAGGGAGGAGCAGGACCGAGAGGCCAACCAAGAAGTTTGCCACTAGACTTGTCAGCCGTGTCTCCTTCACACTCACAATCCTGAAAGCAAGAAAGCAGGGATTAGGAGAGTAGGATAATACCCTAGTATCCATATAAATGCTTATTGCTAAGGCTTACTACTCTGTAGGTGCAGGACACGTGCCTCTCGGGAAAGGGAAACTCATCTTCACTGCACTAAGATCAGCACTTCTGGCACTGTGCTGACACTGAGAAGGCAGAGCTCTGCTGGATCCAGGCCAGGCACTTAATCCACAGCTCAAACAGAGCAGCTGGAAAAATGCCAAATTCCCCTTCTGCAAAGCTCCACAGATCCTATCCTGAACTAAGTTGCCCTCTAAACTAATTCTGTTTAGCATATCGCAAAAAAAACCCAGGCAAGAATCCTCTTTCTGGACAGTAATCCTTTCCTCGATTTACCCAGTGCATATGCGACTAGCTTTTATGCAAAAGAAAACTCATTGACTTCTGCAGCAAGTAATGAACCTCTTGTAAAAAAACAAAGTCTGCACTCTTGACTGCGAGTCAGCATTTTTGAGGTATATGAGGATCTCCTTGTTTATATGGAAGGGAAAGCTGAGAGCACTATGCAGGGAGCTAGAAATTTTAATTCTGCTATGGATAATGGCAGTTGCATGGCAAATTGCTTATTACCATGCAAAACGTAATTAATAAATGCAAATTTTCCAGAGCTGACAAACCACAGATTCCTTTCTTTTTTCCCCTAACCTCTCCTATTAAAAAAAAAAAATCATAATGACAGGAAAGCATACAGCAACTTTCAGGGCCTACTGGGAGGCTGAGGAGAGGTTGCTTTGTTTTCTTTTCATTTCAGCTAAACCTGTGAGCATCTCCTAGTTTGAAAAAAAGTGTTACCACAAACAATAGGAGGAAAGAAAACCCTTATCTTTCAAGACTACATATAAATAGAGAAAAGGGGGATCCCTAATGTAATTTTAAGATAAAGCCATCAATTCACTGGATAAACTAGAAAGTAAATCCCCCCTGCTATCAGGAGAAATTCTCCATAGGCTGTTTTGGTGTCATCTAGTGGCCTCATTCCCTGAACGCGAGACCTCCTATTCCCAACTAACCCTGTACAAAAAAAAAAAAAAATACTCTGAGGATTAACACAAGAGCCAGCCACAAGATCTATCAAAACACATTTCCCTCCTTTACATGTGCACTGCTTGGATTTTGTAATATCTTCTGTCCTAAGGAAGATTGCTTCTCAGCAAATTCTTTCAATATTAAGTTTGAGTGTCTTGTTTATAAGTAAGGTCAGTTGAACTTCAAAATCTGTTTATACATTCAAGAGCATTATGAAGCTGTAGGATGAAGGAGCCTTCCACACCTGTATTCAGAGAGAGAGGGAAAGGGTAACAGCCTAAGGCTTGCTCTCAGGATACGGATAACAGCAGAATTTACATGAGCAGTCATGAGACCTAAGGAACAACAGATATCACAAACAGTACACAAAGTCCTGAGGACCACACACATTCCTTGGTGAATAATGGGGCAGGTCATGCCTATCATCCAGGATTACCAGGAGAGGTTGCACAGAAGAGACTCAGGAGATGTTAACGCCTAAGTAATCTCCCCTCTTCCAGCTAGGTTTAAACAGCAGACGTTACAGCTTTCCTCCTTCCCAACAGATTTTGTTTGGATCCTCTTGCAAGTCTCCTGTGTCAAGAGATCCCTGTCATTGCCTAGAGAAGCAGAGGGAGAGTAGAGCAGTTCACTCTTGTTGCAGACTGCTCTTGCCAGCTCCGGAAGAACTGGGATATTACCTAGGTGGACAGGCACCCTTGTCACTGCCTCCAGGTCTGGTTCACCACAGAAGTCTGAGATGGCAGAGCCAAGCAGCTTAAAGTGCAACTGCAAGGGTTAATTCAGAGTAATCTGATAGTCTGATAAGGAGTGATCAGACTACTCCAGAGCTAACAAAACCACTATGAGCCTCTCAAGTGGCTCAGTAAAGCAGGAGCTGCACTAACTGATTTAGCCTCATCTAGGCACAGCAGGAGTTCCCCATGCTTCATCACTGGGCAAGCAGAAGCATTTCTGCTATTTCAGGCAAAGACCTAACCCACCGCTGGGGATGCTCATGACCTGCAAGCTTCAGTCTGAGCACGCACAAGTCTGCCACGTTCTGTGCAAGTGAAATCATGCAAACCAAAGAGTTCAGGATCAAAATTAGATACTAAGCCATCACATTTCAATCAGATGCAAGTCTGCAAGTACAAGAAGAGCTCAAAGTAGCAGCACTTTGGTCATGGATTTTTGAAGTTCATGAAATTTTCTGCCTGTCATCCCTTGGGGATGTAGCAATCACAGCACTGAAAAGTCTTTGATCACATATAAAATGTACTGCAACTACTACAGTCAGTTCCTGCTAATGCCATGTATTAAAGTAGCCTGGTCAATTATGAGCTATTTTAACTATGTTCTGATCAGAAATTCCAAACTTAGTATCTTTAAAGCTGCAGTTCCCAGACTCAAATTGGTCTTTTTCCAATTCTAGCACCTTTCTTATTTCCAGAGTAAGGACATCAAGACAGTCACATCAAGTCAATAGAAGAAATCCAGGAATTTGGATGTGTTCAGAAACTGGTTTGGCTCTTGAGAAAACAGCTCCAGAAACCCTGTGCTGCAGCAGAAATTATGGAGATTAAAGATCATAATCCAGAGTCATTTCACCAGAATCCTTGAAACACAGCTAGCACTAGATTAGTCATTCCCAACCTCCTCCACATGAGCAATGAGAGCCTATTTGCAGACTGCCACATGAAACTCAAGTGGTTACTCTACAGGGAAGCATAAAATTTTGCTTCCATTGTGACAGATCTTTATTCTTGTTTATATCATCCTCCTCACTGAGAGCTTTGCTTCTAGTGCAGGAAAGGAGCCTGTCAAGGGAACCAGCACTGGAAGAACTCCTGATTTCCTAATTGAGCTTCAGTATGTTCCTTTTTCAGCAGATCTGGCGGGGGGGGGGAGAAAAAGACAACATCACTCAGAGCCTCCTGTTTTATAGCTCAGTGCCTTGCAGAGAACAAAGTGCCTCAGTCTCAAAGGGAGTTCAAAAAGCTAGGAAATCCTCATTCCCTTTTTCACTCCCAATTTCCAGTTCACAGCACTCATTTACGTACCAGTTCAGAAAAGGAAGGGCATTGCCAGGAGGAAACACGCTTAAGTGAGATCAGCGAGTCCCTCAGCCCTTTTTAGGATAGTCACTGGAGCCGTACCTAGGTTAGCATGGGCAAAGAGGACTCCCCCATGCTCTTTTAGGGCAGCTGGGTGAAGGATCAGAGGGCAAGCATAGAAGGTAGTCTTTAATTCAGTCAGGGAACTGGACTTTATCAGGGAGAAGCCGGAGTGCGGAATAAAGACGATGAGTGGCAAAACAGGAACAAAACCACCAGGCATTAAAACTGACAACAGAAGACACAGGAGGGAGGCTTGGCACATGGGTTTCAAAGTGTAAATTCTGCATCTCACACTGAAACGGAGAGCAAAACTGTCTCAGAGTAGATCATGGACACCAAGAACAAGGGCATGAATTAAAACCCTACAGGTCTCCAATAATATATTAAGTTATTGGGTTTTGTTTTAAATAGCATTTAGCATTTATTCAAGACAGCTATAGTTGTAGGAACAACTAATACCAACACATACTATTGGGAATACAAGCCCAAGGGACTGATCTCCCAGGAGATCATACAAGGATTATATAAGATCCTAAGATCATAAAAAGATCATATAAAAGCATTGCAGAAAGCATGTGGAAGGTGCTGTAGAAGATGAAATCTGTTCCCCATCAATCCAAAGAGCAGCCCTGCCAGGTTGGGCTGGGCCAGCTGGCACAAAGAACAGTGTGAAGGCGAGGCTAAAATTAAAAGACAGACCAACTCCATCCCCCAAAAGTAAATGACCACTTAGCCTCACTTTTGATAAGTGGCAACTCTGAAAATGGAAACCAAGACAGGATAATTAAAACTAATGGCATGTGAGTGGAAATTACCACTTCTGAGGTAAAAGCACTCAACTATAATATACTGAGTTTGAACAGACCAGATAATCTCTATTCTGGAGCAGGTTTCATTGGAAATTAGCTTTTTGGTTTTGGGTTGTTTTTTTTTTTTAATAGATCTCTCAGAGTGTGTTGGACAACTCAGAAGAGCAAAAAAGCTGGTCTTAAATAGAAGGCTGTGACCTGGCATGGCTTCACAGTCACTTTTGCTTAAAACCAAGAGATTTTAATAAGCATTGCGCCTTCCCAAAACGTGGCAAAAAATGCTATGTGAGCTCTGAAATAATGCTGCATTTTTCCCACCCTTCGTAATAACCACCAGACAGGTTTCAGGCAATGAATCAGGCTGATTTTTTTCTGGTGAAGACATCTGGAAAGATCTGGCCAAAGCATCTCCTCCTCAGCTTTCCACAAGGATAAATCCAAAATAGGCCTTGGCTGACACTTGCAGAGGATGATTTGCACCAGAATAGGTGAAATCCTTGGGGGCTGTTGATAGCCCCTGTCAAGAGCATAAATTTGTGGCTCTTTTAAAGCAAACACCTTGGTGAAGGGGGATGAAGCAGAGCCACAGGCCATACTGGCTAAGATAGCTTCATTTCATGCATCTCCCCTTCACCTTCATATCTGGCTGGTCTTCCAGACAATAGCTAACTCCCCAGCCATGTAACCCACTGTACCCAAAGGATTAGGAAACCACAAATGAAACTGAGGAGATCAGAGACAGCTCTGTGGTTCCTACTTACGTCTCATAGATGTGTCCATTTTCAACCCTTTCCTCCACATAGGCCAGGGCACGGACATGCATTGGGGAGTGAGGGAAGGCAGCATGGATCCACGGGAGGCCGAAGACTGATAGCCCTGTGTTAATTAGCGCAACGAGCAGGAGGTCCCAGTGATAAGCTGTTCCCTTCACCAACCTGAAACAAAGTTTTTGTTGACAGCAGTTACACGCAGCGCAAACTAACAGGCTGCTCTTGCTGAACCTGAGCTCAAGTGCTGAGCACCAAAGCGTACTTCCACGCACAGAGCCATTTCACACTCCTCCTGCTTTACAGCCTGCATTACATAAACACGAAAGGTAATGAAACTTGATAGTTTGCTCCCAAAGCAGTCATCTCCTGGAAAGAACAACACTGAGCAGAAAGGCAACCCACGGAAGCAACAGCCCATGAAAATTTCATCAGCATTTTGCCACTACATTTACTACAGAGTCCACTCAAAACATACTCATGTATCTGCTGGCACAGTCCATATGGGGAGTGGTTAGAAATCTGGGCACAGGTTGCCAAAATACCAACTTGGAAGTTTCCCACCGGTCTTATTTTTAACCCTGATCTCCCTCCTTCCCCACAAACAGAACATGTGCTCAGTACATTGCAGTAATCCCTTAATTATGTAATTGATACTGCATGATAAGAAAATGGGACATAAATTCATTAAGCTTCAGCTCCTCCTTAGTAGTCAACCAAGGAGATATGCTCCTAACTTTGGTGAACATAAATGAAGTAAGCTTCCCATTTTGTTTGTTGGAGGAGGGGGAAACTGGCAGCCTTCAAGGAAGCTGACCAGTTCACATCCACTTTGCAAGGACTATCAGAGAACAGCTGGTTATACTGCACTCACACCTAGTTTAACCTTGCCATATTTTTTTTAAGGTTTGCTCCTTTCTTGAATACACTCACCTGGTACCAGCTGCTCATGTACTAGGAATATCGTTTAGAAAAAGGCTGGGGAAGGATTCAGCTCTCAGACTTTGATACTAAACTTAAAGGTCTATAGCTGTGTTTCTGGCTGAACATCAGAGCAGACAGCTGTCGCCCTGACAACACCAGGAATCAGCCGAATTGCTCTCCAGGCACCATCAACTGGAAAGGGAGCACCATTTAAGTGTCTTAATGACACCCAAGCAAGCTCAATTCAATACCTAAGCAGAGATTCTGAGCCATCTGAGATGTTCTAGGACATGAGGTAGTAGACATGACCCAGCATATGAAGATCTATGCCTAATGTCTACGTCCAAGAGCAGCAGATGCCATTGTTTGGGCAGCAGCAATCTTAGGTGGCGTTTGGTTTTAGAACAAAGACTTGTCTCACTGGAAGTGCTCACCTCAGTGACTGAGGAGGCCATGGGGTGACTGGGTCAGGTAGAAGTCTACATTGCAATGCCTCTGAAGCTGGAAGGTGCTGGCAGGAAGGGTGGGATTTTAGACATGCTTCCTGTGTTGGCTCACACTCTGAAAGCACGGTGCCTGCTCATGTGCTGCTTTCTCAGAGTAAAGGCATCTCCAAGGTTATCGTTTGATTGTCCTGTCTGCCCTTTTCAGAGGGATTTCTATGTACAAAGGCCATACATCTAACAGCAGCATCATTTTAGTTGCCCTGGGACACTGTGTGGTCTCAGCAGTCTTACAGCACCGTGGGGTACACACCTGCTTTGACCAAGGGGTACGCTTCACTGCGCTTGTCTAGCTCACCACACAAAGAAAGATCTCAATGATTCATCCTCACATTGCCCAGCCAGCCCAGTACTCCTTGGACTGTTCCATAAGCTTATTGGGATTATTCTTTAGCAAAGCACATCAGTAAACTTTCAGACAAGCATCCCCCCCACCATTTTTTTTTACAGGGGGAAATCCCATTTGGTAAGACACCAGAGAGCATGTTCTTCATTTGTCTGGTACATATGACTGGATTTATTTCTGTGATGGTACCACAAACAGAAGGTGTTAAATCCCAGTTTTTCCATCTCTAGAAAACCATGCCCTGATACCCGAACAGCATAAGCTCAGCCCTGTAACAATGCATTATGAAAAACACCTATGAAGAACTCCAAAGAGTATTTTGCATTCCTTAAAGACACCCTAGTGGCAAACACCAGAAGTATAGAAGGAACTCGTATTATGAAACAGATGACCCACTTATATTACAGATTTATGCAACACTAAGTAAAGGGATATAATAAAGATAAGAGAAAAAAGCCAAGTAGCCAAAGAGAACCAAATTAGTATGACTGCATTTGAGCTTGTCTTCTCCCCCCTAATTCAGTGTCATTCCAGATACAACAACAAGAATGCTAATGTATGTTATGCAAGGAGAGAACCCTCCCACGCATTACGTTAGGAAAAAATCCTTTGAGACATGGTAGTTTCCCTGAAAAAGTCATACACATTCATCCTTCCTATCATAGCTGATTGTAGTTGGCATAAAAACATCAGAGGGAATATTTTAATAGTGCAACATCTCGACTCAAGTTTGCACATAAATCAGACCTATCAGACATTGTTTTACTTCCACCTTTGCAACTGGAGACTAACAGCTTCAAACACTTTTCTGATGCTCAAATACAGCATAGCATGATATGCCAGTTATGCAGGCCATTGAGTTTTCGTTTTTGCTAAATTCTCTGTACTGCAAGAGCAGCGCAAGTGTCCTAAATATCCCTAAATATCTGAAGGTATATCCACAGACCTCAAACCATACAAGATATCTACAAAACATTCACACCTGGGCAAAAAAGAAACAGGCTGAGTGATGAGCTCATTGATGCTTAGAATTTTTGACTTACTGTCACAATATTGGGTTTTTTTGGGATGAAGAGTTAAGCAGTAGAGTTACTTTCATCTGTGACAACAGAAGTTCTGACGAACACATCCCAAATACCTTTTTGGTATGCAGACAAAACTTTGGACAAGCAGTGCTTGAAAAAGACTTGAGGACATCCCTCCGCAGAGGAAAAGGAGTACCAAAAGTATTACCTGTTCTCCGGGGCATTTGTGAGCGATGCCACAATGTTCTGCTCTATGAAGAAGAGCATTGACAGGAGAAACCCCAGTCCCATGGCGCTCATCACTGACCCGATAGAGAGGGACTGGACTGGGGCAAGCACAAACAAGCTCTCAGATGGGTTGTAGTTAAATTTGGACACTGGAAAGAGGAGAGGAACGATGTTAGGAGGTGCCTTCTTGTCCAGCCTTCCACACGGACTCAAGTAATGTTTTACCCACACCACAAACTATGGGGTAACCAATGCACCAAACCAGGCATGATGCTGTGGCATGTGGGAGCCAGGAGGCCGTAAGAGATGAGCTCATCTGGCTCGTTTAGTTTATTTCTTTTTCCTCCATCCTCTTGCAACTTGGCTGCCACCCTGATTTGACAAATTACTGCCAGTTCTAGTGAGGCATTACATATATTTGAGCAAAACAAAAGAGGGAAACTTGTTTTCCACAGATGTGAGGCATTTCTAGATTAGAAAACCTTATTTCTAACTAGCAGTATACTCCTGCTCAGTTAATCAACTGAAAGAGGCAGTTCAAAACTTCCTCATATCCAACAAGCTGTGCAAGGCATTTTAGTACAAAATGCCACTATTTTCCGGCCATTGGAAGAAATCCACAATGGGATAAATCACACATGGCCACACATTATTTTACAATCCAACTGGATGGAATGGCTATCACAGAAAAAAAGCCATTTCTTATTTGTTTCCATACATTTCCTCGTGTCACCCACTCACGTCACCACAGGACAATGCAATTCCTGTCCCCATTATCACTTCCTGATATGGAAAAGCTGATCTATTTGGCCATTGAATGGTGTCTCATTTTTAGATTTCCTTGCGTAACTTAGAACTGCCCAGATGCTCCACACCATTTCACCTAAATTAGGAAAACGTAAACTGGAGGACAGACTGGGATCATCAACTCTATGTCTGTATGACGGGCAACAACCCTTCCTGCCTGCTGATTATTCTGCCCTTTGTTCTTCGCCAGAAATTGTTGATCATCTTTTTAGTAAGAAATACACACTTTAAGTTACATTGAAATTAAAAGACACACTAGAGTAATTTATCTAGAGGAAAAGCTCCTCTCTGCCTCATTTGATTACTGTTTTGAATGAATTAAGTCTAATACTGAGGAAATCTGAGCTCTTGGGGTGATGGAAGGTACATGCAGTATTTATGAAATTATATGGAAGAACTTTATTTTTTAGAGAGTTTCTTGGGATTTAATTTCTTTTTCATACACCCTATATAGCTTCCCCCAATATTCCAGTGAATAAAAGCATAACTTACTTTCAATTTCCTTGAAGATATAGGAACCCACAACAGAGAAAGTCAGAACTGAAATCGGTAAGGCACAGTCGGACAGAATTTCACGTACTCTCGCATGCAAATATGGGCTGCAATTTAAAGACAAAAAATTTCCATCATCACCACACTATAGGGACAATCATACATTCCAGAAAGCATTAATGCTTTAACAAGTGAAAATTCAGACCACTCTTGCAATGCAAGAGATATGTGAAGTGAGGAATTAGTCTCTAATTCAGCCCTAAATCCTCTGGAATCTATAGCCTTTGAAGGTTGATGAATGCATAAGCAAAACCCATAAAGAAACAAGAAACTAAGATATAAGCTAGAAACCTCCAAGCACCAATTTGTGTCTTACCTCCACTTTAGTTTAATTGCTTATTCAAGCATTTCAAATGAAGAGTTTTAAGGGCAATGGGAGTAAAACCCAGATTAGGGCTGGGCATTCAACTCAAGAGCATGCTGAAGGTACATTCCCAGCACTCCTTCCAGCACCAACAAGAATTTTTGTGTGCATCACCCCCACCAACAGTTCAGTGCCCATCTGGGGGGGAAGTTACAAGAGTTCCAACATGAAATATGTGGTTTACCCAAAGCTTTTTAGAGAAGTTGTTTGCGACACCAAACCAAATACGGAAGGGCATCTTCCAGCGACTGAACATTTTGCTGTGCTGCTAACATTTTCCAAGTGGCCAGCCAACTTCACCTCTAGCTTTGGCTTCCACTGCCACTAATGGAAGAGTTCCATCTAATTTTTTTGGGTTACAAAATTAAGACCTAAACCATTAGAAATTCCACACAGGCAATGTAAAATCATCAGTAGTCTGAGCTCTAAGACTGAAGTAACTCACCTTTTCTTAAACTGATAGAGCGTATGACCAAGCCAAAGGGTACCCAACATCAACATGAGACTAAGGACGGCAGTTTCACGTCCATAATGCACATCATGAGTGCCTGTTTGATTCTCTAGGGACATGGATCTGCTCACTGATGAATTCATCAAGAAGGTGGTATTGATGCCGAGGCTTGGAATAGCATCAGTTCGTGCTTTTTCCAAGTAACTGTCTCCTGTGCGCCCATGGTAGTAATATTTCTTAAAAACTGTACAAACAACCAACAGGCAAGCATTAGGATAGGCTTGTGACAATTAAAGCAAGTAAAATAAAGTGGTTTGTTCTTGCTTGACCATGCAATATTAATGTTATGCTTCAGCAGGTTTATAGCTCTACCCCTCAAA